ACACCAGTCCCTGAGTGCAGGCACAGCTTACACCAGTCCCTGAGTGCAGGCACAGCTCACACCAGTCCATGAGTGCAGGCACAGCTTACACCAGTCCCTGAGTGCAGGCACAGCTCACACCAGTCCCTGAGTGCAGGCACAGCTTACACCAGTCCCTGAGTGCTGCCCTGGGGATGCTCTGCAGCCTCTCAGTGTCCTGGCAATGATGGAGTGCTCGTGTGCCCTCAGGCTCTTCCAGGGCTGCTGCAACCTGCACAGGGCAGGGCCGGCCCTTTGTCCCCCCACAGCAGCACTTTTTAATATCCACTGTATTCCACATGGAAGGGAGCTGTAGAGACACTTCCTTTTTATGTTTAAATAGAAAAACCACTTGAAAGTCTGTTAGATGTTTTTTAATTAAATAAAACTAAATTATTTTTTTTTAAGAACGAGGCCAGTCATGGACAAAGCTATTTTATGACCTCCTTCAACGCTGAACCCAAAGCAGGGTTTGTAAACGTGGTGGGTGGGAAGAGACAAATCCAATAGAAGGATGCTGACTATTTGGGATTTGAAATTCTATTTTTAAGCTACTCCCCTTGCTCTCCCCCCTCTCCCAACACGTACTGGCACAAAGCATCACATGAACACTTTGGTGGAAATTTCTCTTCCTTTTCTTGTGTTAAACCCCTGTGACTTCAGGAAAGTCCAAGCTGCCCATTCATTTTAATTTGCTGCGTATTTTTGAATTCTCCATAGATTTCTTTCTTTGCAAATACCTATAACTTATAAGCTAAAGTTTTATTTTTGCAGAAAGTCTGCTGTTAAGCTATGCTGATTTTTTTGTCCTGATCAAATAGTGTTAATTTCTACTACTACACTGTACATGGCCAGGAGTAGTGTAAAAAAGAGTGTGGTAGTATTTTATGTGCTTTAAACACTGACAAAGATATAAAGAGAAATGCATATACAAAGTTTTACTTTCCTAATAGGAACACTGGCATTAGCAAATAGTATGTTTGAACCA